GTTAGCACCAACGGAAGATGAAGATCTGGCGAAGTTGAGTGTGCTACATAAGCTAATCACGCCCCAGATGCAAGAGCCAAGCGAAAGGACGAGCGACCCCGGGTCAGCAAAGAAATTGGAGCCGGGTAGCTGTCTGGATTCGACGTGTGGGAACGGAGAGCACATCTGCGATGGACGGTCATGCGTCAGAATAATGTCGTTTCAAAAAGAGGACCTGGTCACTTGGTTCGAAGACATCACAGAAAGGGAGAAAAGTGAAGTGCAAATAATAGCGGAATGTTACGCGAGAACCACGGTGAATATAGCGACAGCTCTCGGATTCTTCTCGAGAATGTGTGGTCTGCAGGCACTGGAGAGACTGGAGTCTGAACATCATTTAGTGACGGCGTTGAGCGTAGAATCATGGCCCGGGGTGTTGCAGGTGACTCAAAAACACATCCGGAGCTGGAAGGTTGGTCTTGAGGCGGAAATGGGATTTCCCATGAGCGAAGCTTATGGCTTGCCATTGAACGCGAAATCGCTGATAGGGTCAATGATGGCCAACTTGTGCGGAAGTCACTACCCGCTACACATGGCGATGGTGGAAGTGTCCAGCCAGAGAATACTGGTGGACAAGGCCTTCTCAGTGCCCAAGTGCGTGAGGTTGGCTCGGATGTCGCATCACTCGCACAAGTTGTTGAGAAAAATCAAAGGGACAGTACCAAAAGAATTGAGAGATGACTTAAGCGAAATCTGGGGAGAAGATCTTCTGAAGTTGGAAAGAGAAAACACGAGCGATCACGAGAGACAAAACGTGATCGGGAAATCTGTGGGAAGTACTCCGAACCTGGAAGACAACGACACGATGCACGAGAAAATGATGGAGCTTGAGCCTCTCTTGGAAGCCTCGGGGGAGCGTAATCTCAGGAGCATTGAGATCTCTCATGGGGAATGCCCATGCCACTGTTTGGCACAAACGGTGTGGTATCCAGATCACAAGAACCTTTGCCTGGTGTGGGATGTGGAAGAGATTCGGTCGATTGGACTACCGGATCACCGGCAGAAGGTGACGCTCTTAGTAGTGAGTACGATGTTAGCTCTGAGATGGATAGAAGAGAATATAACGAAGTATCGGGAGGCGACGAAGCCAACGGCTGAGTCAATATACGCGATAGACTACAGCAAGAGACTCGAGTTGTTTGAGACTGCGTGCAAAGTATTCGCCATACCGACGGAAGTCAGGCACGTATGGAGTCGCTTGAGGTACTTTCCATGGTTTCGGGCGACACTGACGTCTTGGTTGTACATGACAACGAAAGATCACATGAGAAAACATCAAAAAGAGTATCGACAGTTCCAGGCCGAGATTGGGCCGGAAGCTTTCAAGAGACCCCTGCTAACCCATCGTAATGCGATCACGACGGGATGGAAAAGAGTGGGGAAGATGTCTAGAGACAATACCAAAGCGAGGGAGTCGATACTAGAGGAAGACCTGGCGAAGAACGTGAGCTTGAGCCTGCACAACTCCTTTTGCTTGAACCGAGAAGCTAGGGTGAAGGCACTACCCAACCAAGCAAAGAGATTGCAGGAGCAGAGAGAATGGATGCGATCCTATGAACAGCTGAAGGCTTGGGAGGAGATTGTGATTAGTCCCGATGATGAAGAGGAACTGTTGAGACAGTTTGCCGCATCTAGCACTTCAGGATGCAGTACCTCCAAGGCGAAGAGTACGAGATGAATGGGCAAATCGGATGGATCTTGAGTCTTGAGAGGGAAGGGGGGCTTGAGCGTGGATCCGAGTGAAACTTGGATTCACGAAAAAGAAATTTTAACAAAGCAAATATTGTTACTAATATACTATATTTATTATATAAATCGAAATGCTGCATGACAATTTCCTGATTGAATAGGACAAAAGAGATTTTAAAATGATTGGCTTGAAAAGCGAAAATTCAAGGGTGCAGGTGTATGCAGATTTTGGTTGCTGTTTAGCAATAGCGTGAAAATTTTAAATGGCTGTGAATTTTGGGGTGTAGATAAGCTTAAATCTGCTGCAAACTTCTGTAAATGACCACTGGCACTGTATCTTGAGCAACACTCGGTTTTTCTGGGACTCACTGGCAGAAGACAGCGCGCGATGAGGACATCGATCTCGAGTCCGGGGAGTATGTGCCAGTCGGTCATATTTGGAAGTTTGACCTTGAGAGAAGAAAAAAACACTTGATTTTGGAGTGAAATTTAATTTTTCAAAATTTCGAATGGAACCTGTCATGCACGATTTTCTCGCGAGAACTGAAAATCAGAAAAAGAGATCAGAACAATTTCAGAACAGTTGAATAACAATCGCGGGAAAGTTGCTAGAAAAATCGGTGGGAAATTGCTATTCGCAATTTCAATAGCAATAATAACCTAGAGTAGAGCTGTCCCATCTGAAACAGAGACGAGAGCATTCCCACGAATTGGATTGTTACGATTGGAATACTATTATTGACTGGACTAGAGTGAACCTTCGGTCGAAAGGCGGACAGCTTGAGTGTCCCAATGGTTCACGAGAACTTGCAGTCTAGAGTAAAAACTTGTTCTTGTTGTTAAAACTGACTAACATTAAACTCATATTAGTTACTTTATTAATTCTTGAGTTGTTTACCGACTTATTTACTTCCTGGTTCTTGAGCGTGCTACAATGTGAGTACTTATTTTAAATTCCTAGAGTGTGTTTTATAATTGTGATGTTGAGGTAAGGCGAGTTTTAGGTTGATCCATCTGAAATGGATCAAAGTTCCACTGTCTAATAAAAAGTAACTTAACGGATTGTTCCAACCCGGTTTTTAGCGGCGTTCATGTATTTTGGGTATCTAGAGACCTAAGTATGGGGACGTTTCTAATTCTAGAGTGGGGGGAATATTTTAGTAGTAGCCTTTAAGCTGTAACGGGTCGTAGTCTCATGTCACAAGCGAACCGAACTGGCTCCGACCGTTCTTGAGGTAGAAAAACACAAGAGATGGTGTCCCTGACCCTTGAGCCAGTGGTTATAGGGCCTATTTTTCTTAAGCCTCATGTGTGACTGCAGTAGACGAATGTTACACAGATTTTGGTTGCTGTTTAGCACTAGTGTGAAAATTTTAAATGGCTGTGAATTTTGGGGTGTAGATAAGCTTAAATCTGCTGCAAACTTCTGTAAATGACCACTGGCACTGTATCTTGAGCAACACTCGGTTTTTCTGGGACTCACTGGCAGAAGACAGCGCGCGATGAGGACATCGATCTCGAGTCCGGGGAGTATGTGCCAGTCGGTCATATTTGGAAGTTTGACCTTGAGAGAAGCAAAAAACACTTGATTTTGGAGTGAAATTTAATTTTTCAAAATTTCGAATGGAACCTGTCATGCACGATTTTCTCGCGATAACTGAAAATCAGAAAAAAGAAATCAGAACAATTTCAGAACAATTGAGTCGCACACGCGGGAAAGTTGTAAGAAAAAGCAGTAGGAAATTGCTATTCGCAATTTCCATCACTATAATAATCGAGAGTAGAGCTGTCCCATCTGTGACAGAGACGAGAGCATTCCCTCGAATTGGATTATAGCGACTGGAGTATTATTCGGAACTGGACTAGAGTGAACCTTCGGTGGAAAGGTGGACAGCTTGAGTGTCCTAATGGTTCACAAGAAAACTATTGTCTAGAGTATAAACTCGTTCTCATTGTTAAAACTATAAAACATTAGACTCATTTAGTTACGTTATTTAATTCTTGAGTTAACTACCGACTGGATTATTTCCCACTTCTTGAGCGTGCTACTATGTGAGTACAAATTTAAATTTCTAGAGTGTGTTTTATGATTGTTATGTTGAGGTAAGGCGAGTTTTAGGTTGATCCATCTGAAATGGATCAAAGTTCCACTGTCTAATAAAAAGTAACTTAACGGATTGTTCCAACCCGGTTTTTAACGGCGTTCATGTATTTTGGGTATCTAGAGACCTAAGTATGGGGACGTTTCTAATTCTAGAGTGGGGGGATATTTTAGTAGTAGCCTTTAAGCTGTAACGGGTCGTAGTCTCATGTCACAAGCGAACCGAACTGGCTCCGACCGTTCTTGAGGTAGAAAAACACAAGAGATGGTGTCCCTGACCCTTGAGCCAGTGGTTATAGGGCCTAGTAGTAGTAGTAGTAGTAGTAGTAGTGTAGGCTTTAGGATTTCTCCATGGGTTTTGAACCCTCGTTTATAAGTTCATAATTTTTCCCGGTGGGTTGCAGTTTCCACACCAGCAAAGAATTCTCCACATACACAAGTTGTTTTCTGCAAAATTTCTGTTGAAGAATTTCCAAAACGTGTTTGTTATAGATATTTTCAGGCTGTCATAATCTTGATTTTCGAAGTCCACAATTTGGCTAAAGTAGTTGTATAGCGTAATAGAACGTATATAATAATTTTCATTTGACTTTTTCAGTCTTGTTGCATGAACAGCAATCTCACCACGTGTTGCTTGTCTCGTTCGTGATTCGTTTTTATGAATAATTGTATTCAAATCAATGTCATGTTTATTTTTTAGTAGTGAAACTAAGTACAATATGTCGTGTAATTCAAAGTACATTGAGAGTGGAAGGAGCTTTAAAAATTTCAGTCTTTCAGTATAACTCATTTTGAAGTTATTTGTAATCCAAGATGTCGCTCGTTTTTGTACTCTTTCTAGTTGTCTTAATTCTGCTTTGTTCGGATACCATGTTTGCGATGCATAGCTTATGATTGGTACGATGTATCCGCAGTATAAGTTTAATTTTGACTTTAAAGATGTTTTTTTCGAGATATTTCGTTTGATTTTGTAAAAAGCTCCCATTGCTTTTGATATGCGATTTTCAGCATTTACTATTTTTCTTAAGCCTCATGTGTGACTGCAGTAGACGAATGTTACAAATGAACTTGTGCACGTACCGTCGCATGACGGAAGGGCCCATTTTAATTGACCTTTTTTTTAAACTGTGAAATACTGATTGGTCCTAGCGTTATTGACATTTTCTGAGCAGGTAAAATGACGTCTTTATCAAATGATGAATTATTCGTTATGCTGGAGAAGATGCAGATTAAATTAAACCCAGGATCAGATTCGAACTTTCAAAGCGAGCTGTCAACTTTCCAGTGGAATCAGATTCTACCGGAAGATGACATCGATCAATTTCGAAATGCCGTCAATAATTTGATGTTGGAAATAAATCCTACAAGGAATCTACACGAGATGATTGGCTTAGCCAAGCTGAGAGTTCAACGACCAGCAGAGAAATGGTATTCTTTTTATATTTTGACTCTAATTCTGTTCCACACTCTTTGTTTAAAAGCAAATTGCATGCAAAAAAATTTATTAATTGGAATGTGCTGACTCACGTTCACTGTCATGGGTTACTATTATTTTAGAACAGCAAAATTTTTTTTTTTTTTTTCAATAATCGTAATAATTTTTGGCATTTATTCCCAAAATTTCAATGATAATTAATGGAAATGGTTTTGCCAATTATCTGCTTGAAGATAACGCCAAATCTTCTATGGTCACAAAGCATAGGGTTTTCTACAGGGGAACATGGTTAAAGAAAATTGTTAATGCGCCATGCTTGAGAGAATTTGTTTTGCAAATACATTTGAACAATTCACTCAATTTCGTTGCTTGAACAGCTTGCTTAAGGTTGATTGTTTTTTTTTGGAACCACCTCAAGCCATCAAATACAACTTTCAACTTTCAAAGGTTTGTTTCAACGTTTGAGTAGCTTGCTTAAGATAAATTAAACTACCGATTTAGGCTATTTTTCAAAGTTTTATCCTTCTAACGTCCGGCTCCATTTGAACCTTCTCAAGCTATCAAATCAAATTGATTTCTATTGCAATTTTTTGCTTGAGAGTTCGAAATTAAATTTAACTTTTCGTGAACCTTATCACACTTGCGAAGCTAGTGTAATAGTACGAACCTTCTTTTTTCCAACCTAAATCGCAAATATTGGTGGGGCACCTCTATAATAGTGGGTTACCTTTACAGCTTTTTGAAAGCTTGTGCTATGACATTCGAATAGTAAAAAATTAACACAGTTGATGCATTTTTAATTCAACAAATAAACCGAAGAAAGCTATTTGTTTCAAACAATATCACACTTGCGAAGCTAGTGTAATAGTTCGAACCTTCTTTTTTCCTATCTAAGTCGCAAATATTGGTGCGGCACCTCTATAACAGTGGGTTACCTTTACTGCATTTTGATAGCATGTGTCATGACATTCGAATTGAAAAAAAAAGTTAACCCAGTTGATGCATTTTAAATTCATCAAATGAACCGAAGAAAGCTATTTGTTTCAAACAATATCAAAATACTAAAAACTCGATTTCAGAAATTTTCCAACCCAATATATCTCGCATTGCATAATTATACATAATATGGCTTTATTCTTTAGATTTGTTACATGCAAAGATAGTGTGGATGCCTTCAGTTTGTTATATTCCAAATTAATAATTGCAAAATTGAGTCTATTGTATTTGGCGCTGAATCGCAATGGCAATTTTTTTTAGCATATGTAGCTGCTTTATTCGTGAGTATTATTTGTCGGTTGTTAAACTTAAATGGCTTAGAGGATAGTGCGTGAGACTCAAAATCTCTTGATTGCAGTAGGTCGCAGATTCGAATTCTTCACTTTGCCGAGTTTTTGCTAATTCGAGACTTATTTCTACTTTTTCTTATTTAACTTGAAAGCCTTAGTTAACTTGAAAGCGCTGCTTTTTGGTCGTGTTCTCAACAGAAAGCTATGTAATTGCGTGCTATTTTCACATTTGAGTTGAGCAAGAGTCCTTCGTGATTTTTTGGAAGCTTTTTCTGGAGCTTGAGAGACCGTCAGTTTAGAAAGATGTTTGGTAACGTAATTTTCCACCTCATTTGAATGAATTGTTTCAAGAGCGACTTTGTATTGATCTGGTGATGGGCGATCATTCTCACCAAGATTTTTTTTGATATTGCCATAGTTTTTTCGACCAGTGTTGGTATTATAAGTGTGGTCATCGGGTTGAGTTTGTTTGTGTGGTAGTCACATCGTTCTTGTTTTGATGGTAGCCCGTTAGAAATTGTTTGCTTAACATTTCATTGTGCTCTTTTGCTGACAGTATTTGAGTTTCACAATGAAGATGTTCAATTGAAGTCGTTTTCGTGCAGCCAGTTACAAGTCTTCTTTATTTTTGTTCAGGTTGTTATGATAGTTGCTGAAGATTTGTCTACATATAGTTTTAAATTGGGTTTTTGAAGCCATTTGTATAGTTTTTAGGTAGGGTTGTACCTCTCTAGTTCAAGTTTAGTAGTTTTCGGACCAGTGTTGGTGATAGAAATATCATATACATACATTGATACCTTGATGTTTTTGGCAGCTGAGGGGGCATTGATGACATGTAAATATTGAGCAGAATAGGTGACAAGACACATCCTTGAGGTACATCTTGTTTCACTCGTCGCATTTTTGATTTTTGGTTTCTAAATTCAACTTAAGTTGCTCTGCCTTGTAAATTTGATGTTATCCAGCTTAGAGTGTTGTTTGGAAGAGACGGCTTTTCAAGATAGTGCAGCAAGATGCCGTGATCCACTGTGTCGAAAGCTGCAGTAACTAAGAATGTCATGTGTGGAGGACGAGGTTGATTTAGTCCGTTTCTTATGTCTGTGGCTATGCAGTGTAAGGCGTGTATGTTAACCTGTGTTTATGAAATTCGTGCTGGTGATCTGCTACTGGGATGTTGAAGTCATCCAGCAACTTTCTTTCTATCAATTTCGCTACTGAGGAGGTAGCTTCTTGCTGCATATTTGCTTTTGCCGGGTTTTACTAAAGGGAAGAGTCGACCCATTTTCCAGTTTCGCTGAATTTTTGAGTAGTTGAGAGCGAGTGATATTAGTTCTGCAAGGAGTTTGATACTTTGATCACCATAATAGTGAAAATGAATGTAGGGCGATGTCGGGCCATTTTTCTTGCTCAAATTAATTTTGTCTGCGACGACCTGTTTGTTGGACAATTATACCGGACTCACGGCGTATTTCTTTCAGTCTGCGGAGCGTGCTGTGTTTCCGTTTGTTCGGAACGGGCAGGTGATGATTGTGATGCCGATTAAAGAGATTGACAGCAGGGAAATGTTTGGATCACCAGGATTGTTTGATTGAAGTTCGTCTCTAGTCTTCGAAAGCTCTACTGCTTGTTTTTTTTTAGTGTGGTTTGAATTCTTTGATGCAGCCATGTTGAATGTGCCATTTGGCTGCTTTTGTCAAAAGTTTGTGGAGGGTAGCTTCAACTTCAGGCGCTGTTATGAGTGATCTGCGTTTGCCAAAAAATAATTCAGTAGATCCGCGAAATCCTTTCTTATCTGCTTTCCAATCTGTTTGGCACTTGCATGACTGATGTCGGATGAAATTTCACACATGGAGGTTACTCTCATTTAAGACTACTTGGTCTGTGAGTCATCTATTTTTTTGGCAAGTGTAGTTCCTCTTGCATCCTCCTCAAGTTCAGAGAATTTATTTAAAATTTGGTCTGTAAGTAATGTGGTCTCGCAAACTATAATAAAGGTGCGAAGAATTTTTCAAGTTATTCACTTTGCGGTGTTTTCGTTCCCTTGTTTTTTTGGCTGTCACGCCAATTTTGCGTGCAATCCAGACATACGAAAAAGTGAAATCATAGAGCTTCATTAGCAGTTTTTTTGCAAAACTTTTCAAGCTATCGAAGCATGTTAAAATGTTAACCTTTAATGCAAATGTTAAGCTTTTTAAACTCCTTTTGCTGAACTGCGAAGAAAAACTCCGCTCGTTGATGTAGTTAGCAAGACTGCTACTTCATTTTCTTTCGTGAGTTTGTCGCATATCGTTTTGGCTAGGTTGATGAGAAGTTTTTCAGTTCATTGGGGGTGAATTGGACTAATTCATTGGCCGTAAAATCAATGATGACTTACTTGATTTCAGAATTTTTCAGAGAACAGTCAATTAATTAAATGATTTCAGAGAAAATTCAGCAACTATAATAATTTGTCACTGCGTGTCCCTGGAAAAGAGCCCACATTTTCGCATCCAAAACTGTTCAGGCGTAATATGAACTTTTTTGTTTCTTCGAAGACCATTTAAATTTAATACAGATTAGTTATAGTTTCGATACAAGCTGTGTTCAGCAACACAATTCGCAGTCCCTAAGGGAGTTTTAAACATTTCAAATAATTTTTTTGGTAATATACATATTCATAGCAGCTCCTAATTAATTTTCTTATTTTCTTAATTTCAGGAAAAATGATTTTTTTTTCACGACAAAGTCATAAAAATTGTTCACCCTCAAATAAGATCATCCGCCGTGTGGCTTTTGGTTTTTTATTTCAGTTCATTTCCTTTTTTAAAAGTTCAGTTCATTTCCATTTTTAAGAAGAAGGCAAACTCCACTATCGAACAGCTAAAGTGTAAAGGTCGCATAAAACCTGAGCAACTTTTTTTCGAAAGCGGATTTTAATTTACAGCAGAATAAAACTTTGCCTATTCATCCACTTATCTCAAATTGGGTTAATTTTATCAAAAAAAAGTGTCAATCATAAATTGTTCTAGGAACTCAAAGAGATTTAAGGCCGTATATTTTTTTTGCTTTAATTTCTTAGGTTTCCTTGTGTTCATTGACTATCTATTTGCTATGTTTTAACGATTAAGTGGTTAACAATTAAGTTTTTAGCTGTCCGAATTGCGAAGGTGGAAGAAAACGGAGAATGAGCGAGATGAACTCAGCCGAAAATGAACCATTTGGATCGCCCAGGTAAGAACTTGTTTCGCGATTGGATCATTATTGACCTATATTAAATATGTCTATAAGGGTGAGATATATAAACTAGATGCACAAATAACTGAAGTGAAGTGTGTTTTTATGCGATTAAACAGATCAAAGAAGGTGAACGCGTATGAAGCTACAAACGGTGTTGTAAAGAAGACAAAGAAAGCACTGGAAACAGAAGGGCCAAAAAGACCGATGTCGTCTCTAGATGTTTACATCGTCAAGTACTGTTCGACCAAGGATATGGATCCGAAGAGTTTCTCAAGAACTGCGTGGAGGGATGCATATAATGAGTTGAAGGAGTCAAAAAGGATCAGACATATCAGGGCTGCAATTACAGTTAGCAAATAATTACATATTTTTTATAACTAAATTTTATAACTTATACATATTTTTCAAAACTAAATCGAGTAGCCAATTGCTGTGAAATTAGGACTTTTTTTCTGACTGCTTGAATGTTTTTTTAACATTAAATTGCAACGTCGCTACTACCAAGTGATGTTTAAGTGTCTATTTTTGTACTCGTAGCCAGCAGTTTCTCAAAGAATTCGATTTTTAAAAGCAGAATCGGCTCTTACGAGTTTTTCTTGCAGTTCCTGCAATAAGTAAGTCCTACCCTTTAAATCTTTTTTTTTCATGCAAGGTCATCGATCTCTGATTCAAACTTAACCTGTGTTTAGGATGAACTACGTTACCAACAGGAAGTGAAAGAATCGCAGCTTGACTTATCTGAGTCATTCAAACCCTTGACACCCTTCAGTCAAATCTCGAAGAAGGAACTGGAATTGTTCTTACAGGTGATTTTAACCCTTTAACTTTATTTTCGTGCAGTCCGTGGGGACTACTTTCATTTCGCAGCTCGCAAATATCACACCACTTTCAACGGAGTTTTGTGTGTGAAACATAAGGCGCAAATTTGCCATAATTTTTAAGTGTAGCGAAATCTAGGAGGGGTGAAGGACACTGCTTTCAACCTGTAGTATGATTCTCAGACAGTATTTTCTTTTTACACTTGCGAGAGCAATTGTCCTGTAATCGGGAACTAGATTTTTTCCCATTGTAATTTTTTTTAAAAACTTGTCAGAAAGTGATGTGGCGTTATTTCCGAATCTTAGCAACTTACAGGTCCCTTCCCACTTGGCCTGGAGGTAATGCGGTTGCTTTTTACACTATGTTCAAGGTTTGGAGTCCCAGCCCCCAGCCTGGCTGGTTTATTTTCCGTTTTTTTTTTGTTTTTTTTCGTAATGTTATTGGGCCTAAATGATTTCGGCTTCTGTTTTGTCGGTTGAGTGAAACTATTTTGCATCGGATTTACGGCAAAAAAAATGATTTTTACTGTTTTAAATGAATCAGGTCGGTTGAAGTATAAGTTGAAAATTCAAACAATTTTTGTGACCAATATCCTGTGGCATTTTTTGTTTTCGGATTATTGGGCGTGTAACCACGTGGCTTAGTGAACGCTCGGTAAATACTTAAAGCTTGATTAAAGTAAGTGGATGTGTCTCTGGTCTGTTTCTCTGAGATTGAATGGTTTTTTTTTCTTTTAAAAAAGATGATTTTTTTCTTGTTTTTTTTCGTCTCATTTTCTATTTGGTAGCTTGCAATGCTACGCTTCCATTGTCGTAAGTGATGCGAAGCTCGGCTTTGCCTCTCTGTACATTTGTTTCGAAGGTTGAAAGTTGATGTTTGTCCTTGAAGATATTTAGGAACGCCTTTGCAAACTAGGTTGCCCACCGCACTGTAAGGGCACACACACTTATCGGGCGAAGAAGATAAATTCTTGGTTTCGAGAATCTCGAGACAATTTTTGTTCCCTCTGCAAAGTTTTAATTTAATAAGACCGCCGATAGACAGGACTAAAATAATACATGATTTTGTAAATTGAAACGACGAAATTTAATAATATTGGTTTAAGTTTTATATTTTGTTTTAAATATAGCACGAAGGAATTGGAAAGCCGATAAATAGTGCATATTCTTTGCTACTCACCGAAAAACTCCAAAACTACAAAGGCGAGGACAATTCAATGACCGATAGAATGAGACAAGTAGCGGCAGAATGGCAGAAACTACCCGAAGCCGAAAGGAAAAGATACCAAGACAAGTGTGCTAAAATGACAACAGAGCGAATGCAGAAGTTGCAATCGGCTTCGGAGGAAGTAAAAGCGGCTGATAAGTTTTTGAGGAAAACAACCAGCTCACAAAATAGTAAACACGCACAGAAAATGGCGACTGGCTCGAGTAACAGTTCGAATTCAGTTCATAATCGTTCGTCGAATATTGCTACGAAACAAAATGGGCCGACGGGCAAGCGATAAAATATCAAAATTGAAAATTTCTAAAACAAAGCTAAAACTGAAAACTCTAGTTTTGTGCGCGTATTTTGAAAAAAAAACATTAAAAGTGATAGTTTTGTAAACCTTTTGAATTGTTTTGAAAGATTAAATTTTGTCTCTAAACAGATCGTTTGCATGTAAAACTTCTTCAATCGCTAATCGCTGTGTAAGTGTTTGTATTGTGTGATGTATGTAGTAGTGTTAGTGTTCTGTCTTGTTTCTCGGCTTTGTTTCGAATTTTGAACTTTTGATGTTTGAAACTTGACCCTAGGCATCAACGTGACAGATAAAAAATCAGGAAAAACAGCCAGCAAATTGTCAATTGTTTCTGAAAGCTCAACCGGCTTGGTACCGAAAACTGTCAATCAAAACATCAACAATACCGATATCGAAAGTCGCGAGAAAACCATTAGTTCGTCGAAGAGTTCGAGAGGAAAAGAAGTTGAAATCAGTCAAGATAAAATTGTGAAAACGAAAGTGTCTCATGGTAAGAGTGCTCAAAGTTCTTCAGAAAGTGAAAGCGAGGTTGTAAGTAATTCACCTGGAAAGAAAAACGAAGCTAAAGCGAGACGAAGACACGTTATAACGTATGATGATTCCAGATTAGTGTCCAACATTCAACCGCCGCCTGATTATTACGAGTACCTTGCTCGTTTTGAAAACAATGATGATGACGAGGATGACGAAAACACTTTGAACACTTCTGAAAGAAAAAATAAAAGTGGATCTAGCCCGAAAAAGACAAAATCAGTCAACGAGAAAAATTCGGACTCGGACTCAAGTGAAAATGATGATAATAATAATGTACCTCAACTTGAATTGAAGAACAAATCGCCGAATACGAAATCTGAACTTGGACGTTTGAAAAAGAACGATGAAAAAAGCTCAGTGAAAAACCAAAAGAAATTACAACAGGAAAGCTCAGACGAATCAGAAAGCGACGAAGATGCTAACAATGACAATGAGCCTAAAACTCAAAAACAGCTGAGTAAACAGTCAAAGTCGCAAAAATTGAAAAGTGGAAGCTTGAAAAAAATGAAGCAAAGAAGTTTTTTGCAGGAAAATATGAGAAAAAATTTGGATAACAGTGACGATGAAATCCAACAGGAACAGAACTCAGACTGCCAAGTAAACAAAGACAACAATGAAGGCGATGTCGATGCTAGCAATTTAAGTTGCAGTTTTTGAGATAGTTGCGTCATTTATTCCTAAATGGTCCTTTTTCGGTTGGGTTTCTCAAAGTCGAATGTAATTCTGAAAAATTGACATGAAACTAATCCTGAAATTCGTCAATATGGGCTGAACGTTAAACGAATCAAACTCACAAAAACTGATGGCATTAACAAACGAAGTTTGGAAAAAGGAACCGATAAATTTGCTGTGAACTAGTGTACTAGTCAACTTGATTGCAATAAAACTTTAAAAACTTTTCAACTGATATCCGTGTTCAAGTTGCTGTTCATTTTCAGCAGTTATTTTCAAGATGCATTAATTTCGTTAAATTGGCTGTCTAAATATTCTTTTGCAAACCTTTAAAAAACTTTCAATTATCTAGAGTTCAGTAAAGTTAATTGAATTATTGATAAATGTTGGTCGACCATAATCGGTAAAGTTTTGTTTGGTTGGATTTGTTAATTTATCTTTTGAAATATGTTCAAACGCTTTTCAGAAGTTTCTGATGTTCTATCATCAACCCTTCGTTGATACAGTTCGCAGTTTTATTGTAAAAAAAAGTTCTTAATATCGATTAGATGATGTCATCAGCTTCATATATCGTTTCTTGGGTTGATTTTGTTGATGCAGTTTATTTTCTAACATCAACATATTTTGCTCAATATTTATAATTAATTACTCAATTTGACCATCAACTGTTGAACGTGAAACTTGAAAATGGTAATTTGATAATAGGCATTTTAATTACTATCATTCCTGGTCAGGTTTACATGAAAAATATGAAAACTGAAACTTCAAGCTCTTTCGTGTTTTATATCTGGAATACTTTTTTTTTCGTTTAGTTTCAAACCTGAAGTCAGTTAATAATGAACCGTTTACAAAAATCGCTGATTAGGTTAAAGTTCAACTTTTTCCACCTGATTTATTGTTGCTGTGTTATGTTTGATAATTTCACTTCAAAAATAGTTGCTATTTTTATCCAGAAGTCAGACTTATTTCTTCTTTTCGGAATTCTGAATAAAAATTTCATTGAAATTTTTATCAGGTTAACGAAGTAAGCTTAAGCACTTCCACGAGTATAGTTAATTTTCATCACGTTAAATCGTATATCGCCACGTCAAGTTCGTATCTGAAAATAAAGCTCTTGAAAAAGTCAAAATGGCGGATGTTCATGATTAAAGTTTAAAGGGATATCTAATATTTTTTTGCAACAATGCCATAAGTTAACAAGGATATGTGGTTACTGTGTTAAAAGCACAGAATAATCCTGTCATAATAAATTCTACAAAAACGTTTTTTCAAATTAGTGTCTTTTTCTGCGAGGTGTGATAATACAATCTGAACAAAAAAACCAGAGCTTATGCGTATTTGACACTCATAGTGAAGAAAGCAAGTTGGAAGACAATTTTTGTAGAAAATTGATAAGAGCAAATTTTTTTTAAATTTTTTGCAATTTTCTGAGTTTTTGTTTCGAAAAACGTGCTAAATACTCAAACAAACTAACTTAAGTCGATTTAAACTAAGTTTCTACCGCTTAAGTTAAGCAATTGTAAGCTTTTAAGCTATTAGCACAAACTTGGATGCCTGCTCGCTCACTCAAAGGTAGACGAAACTAAAAAAATTCCAAGCCGATTTTTCTCGATACCGGGAAAGTTTTTAGAACAATATTTATTGTTTGAATCACGACTGAAAGGGCTCTGAGTGTTTGAAAACACGACTGAGTGTTTGAATGACTCAACTCTATGATGATTATTTGTAGTAGCTAATTATTTTTTAAATTGTCATTGTTTTTTTTTGTGCGTGGTATGATGAAAGGATCTGAACGAACGCCTAGAAATTAGGCTTATTCGACTTTTATAGTAAACTATGCAATTTAGAAAAAACATTCACTGTCAAAAATTAACCAGAAAAGCAAAAAAAAACATCAAAAAAAGTTTTCGAAAAATTAACCAAAATCTTCAAAAACAAGTGTAGATTAGAAACCGTTAAATGATCCGAATTATGCTTTGGAAAAAGCAATACAAGTATCGAACTCGATAAAAAGTTTTTCTGATGCTGGAATTGCAACCCCCTTTAACCAACGCCGCCCCTATCATTGTTAACCTGTTGACGCTAGTCCTGTTTAAAAACAAAACATCAGCGGACAGGTCTTTAATAATTATCTACTTAGATAATAACTCTGCTGTTTGTATTGATCTTGCTAGACTTTTCAATCGTTGCTTTGACGAGCAGTGCCTGCTTGGAGATTTGAAAGTTGCGAGAGTAAAACCGTTAAGGGTGGAAAAAAAGATAAGTGCGGAAACTATAGACCAATCTCACTTTTTCCTGAATCAGTAAAGCTCTTGTAAAACTAATATCCAACCGAATGAATCAGCCTTTTCAACCATTCAAAAACAAAAGGTTTATTGGCATAGGGTAGGTTGGAATCAGGTAAATCGAAATTGGGTAAGTTTTCATGAAACCTTTTACTTACTTGACTTTAAGTTTTTTTTTAAATTTGAAGGACTGTTTTGTAGAAAAAAGTTTTCTCTGCTAAACTTCTACCGAATAATTTGATAAATCGGAAATTTTTCACTAGCCAATCATAAAAATATTTAGTAAAACACCTAAAAGGGTCAACCACAGTGAACTCACACAATTTACTAAAATCAAATGTCTGAATCCCGCGCGTGGTAAGCAGACTTGTTCAAACAATGTCTATATAATCATTTTGAGATAGAAATTATTTATCAGCGCATTTAGATCTATTCAAAACGAATTCAAAACCAGGGTCCCATATGTTAGTAATTATCAGTGATTTTTTTGTGTTTTTGTGAATAGATTTGGAGATCAATTTTTTTATTAGTCAACTATCTGTGAAGGATAGCTTTCCCATCACTGATGGCTGAAATTTTTCAAGATTTTAAAAGATTGTAAAATTCGTCGTCTTTTTCTTTTTTCGAAATCAAAGTCTACTGTTGATATTTTTTTAGAAAGAGCTTTTGAAACATGTGATCAAAAGTACAAAAAAATGCTAGCATTTCTAAAAAAACTTTGCGAAATAATTTTGTTGAATTAAGTTCAGAGGTCAACTCCTTATCCAATTCGTACCTTTTTTCGTACCTAATTTTTAATTTGAAACAATTTAGACTGTTTTTTTTTTCTTAACACTAACACTCTAAATTTTTGATTGTTTTTTTTCGGAATTGAAATTACGGCTAAAAAGGTTCATTTTTTCAAATTAAGCAAAGCTGAGATACAAAAATAACACAGCCTATGCCATATATGCTTTAGAAGCACTAAAACCAGTTTATATGAACTTCTTGTAGAAGCCTACCTACAAAAAATCAAATACGACCATATTAAAACATATGTTTTTAGAACAAGTTTTTTTTCAGGAATTTGAGTTGTTTTAAGTCAAAATTTTTCCTCTGCTCAAAAACATATTTACAAGGATCGTGTTTAATCTGTTTTCGGTTTATGGTAGTCAATTTTGATAAATGAGGCCTTCAGTGTTCAATTGCATTAATTTGCCAGTTTCATTGAGTTCGGCTATTCATTTTTTTCAATGTTATTCTGCAAACAGTCGAATTTCAATAAATAGGCAGTTTGAAATTAAAAAACATTTTCCATTTTTTTTCACTGGTGCATACCAATTATCTATTTCTCATTGGTTTCAAAAATTGTTTCTCAAACATCTCAACTCAAAGTATTTTGCCTCAGCATAAGTTCTTCTGGGGTTTGTTTCAAAATGAGAAATTAAATTCAATTCAAATTTTTTTTCCTGTGTTCATGTGGTGAAAATAAAACAGGCCATTCAGTTTATACTATCCTTGATATAAAAAATTATTTTTTACCCAATTCATTTATATTTTTTTAATTTCATTTTTATAGATTATATAATTTAAGGCTCTTTTTTGTGTGCTCGTGTTCTTTTATTACAGCAATTTAGCCTAATTGAAAATATGTTTCGCTCTTGATGAAAAGTGTTTTTGACAGATCAGTGTAATTTTTTTGTCAATGCATTTGGTTTTTTATCACATTTTCTTCCAGAATTAAAAGAGCTTCTGTAATAGTTTTTCGTTTGTTTTTTTCCGCTTGTTTCAAAGTTTTTTATTGTTATTGATGAACAGAAAAAGATTTTCTGGGGTTGCACTAAAATCTAAATGATCTTTGAAATACACAAGATCTCTAAATAAGTTTTTTGTTTCTACTCGGTGGAAAACCGAAACTCTGACTCCAGTGATAAATCGGCCACCTTGAAAACTTTAAACAATCTGATTTTGTTGAAGTTGATTCATTACATTACAAATATGTTTGCTGCGCATTTGCCGCCATTATCAGGTTCCGATTTCTTGTTATCGAAGCTTGAGATATTGCGCAGCATGAAATTTTTCTTTTGATATCAGAGTTCCTGTTTGTTGTCTGTCTGTCTGGTGTTTATATCAATGCAAGGCTTTAAAAGTTGGACTGGCGGGTTTGAAAACTTTGACTGTGTTAGTAATAACTATCTTCCTGAACCACAAACTTAGAGTCTGAGTAGTGGCAATTAACTTTTTTCAAAATCATCCCCAATAAGTTTTCTGTCTTAGCTCCCCGTGAATCAAAACTTTTCTGATAGCAACTCGACGGCAAATATCTATTTCCGCTGCGGCTATCATCACAAAAATCTTATATCAATTTCGTCAGGAGTTTATTAACTAAGTATGTTTCAGGTCTTCATCATACCAATTGAAACCTCGTATGGGCATATGTTGCATCAGTTCTTATCTATAAAAATCTAATACACTCAAAAAGAAGCCTTGTTTTGAAAAATTTTATGACAAAATCAGGAAAACGATTGTATGTTGCTTCCATCTAAAATTGTACTCCAATTCTACTAAGCTCAATTCGGAATGAGTTTTCATTCAAAAGGAAATCTTAAATATCAGTGAAAGACTATCTTAATTTCTGTTGTCTTGGTTATGGCTTCCCTCAATGGTTTTAGGCGCGGAATAAATAATTTTGAATAATGGTCAGAATTTTCCTTGAAGGTTTATCTTGAACTCTCGAACTTTTTCCCAAGCAGTAGCAAATCACTCCTATGTTTTAGATCATCTATATTCTGAAATTTCGAAGGTAAAATTAAAAACTCCCTTAGAAATCTTTTTTCCTCTGACTTGGTTTTATTTCCAACTTCATGTTTTTGGAGCTGCCGATGGCTACGAGCAAGCTGAAGGATGAATAAGTTCCGTCTGCGCCTGTAACAACATTTATTTATAACCTCCTTCCGCTATAAGATGTCTGATAAGATGATTCGAGTAGTCTCTTCTCAGATTGTAAAAAATTTTGAGGAAAACTTTTCAGCTGTGAATTTAAATTTGCTCTCCGTGTGTGCAAAACCAAAAATTTTACCAGTAACATGGTCGTGTTGAACAACTTTTCCTTGTTTGTAATGCACTCGGCAAATCTTTTGCTTGGATGAAAATCCAATCAGAAATTTTTCATTGCAATCAAGTTGTTTTTAAAGTTGTTTCAGCAGCGTTTTTTCACAACCAAAAATTAAACACAAAAAATGGTTACAGGTTTCAATATAAAAATTTGTCCTAAGTCAATTGAAAATGAAAGCTGTATCAAGCAAGATTTGAAATAAAAAAATTTTTTAATTGAGTTTTTTCGCTCATCTACTTTTTCATAGTATTTAATTTAAGCAAACAGTTTTCAAAAAAATCATGTCCTAGCTACAGTCGACAAAAAAAAGTAAAAAAATGAAATCCAGAAAAAAAATTGAATCAGTAGGCTCCGTTACAGCTTAGCTCAATTAGATATCAGTTTGCGTTCATTGGAACCATCAAAAAGCTGAGTTTAGAAAATGTTTTTGAGCTGTTTCTTTACCATATTTATGACCTTCCGTTTATATGTAGGAAAG